GACATTCAGAAGGTTAAAGCAACGGGCCTGGTTTGAAGAAAGTAGGTGCTTTGCCAGAATTGCCTCTGGGAAAGTTTTTATGGCATAGACACCTTGAGCGTTTACTTGTCTTCTGCAATAGAAAAATGGCGGTAGCCCAAGGGCTAAGGGAATTTCCTACTTATTCCTTCAATTGTTATTCAGCTTTCAATGTTACTGTATATCTTGCTAAAATGTTATACAGGTTTTACATTCCCACTCTTAAATTTCAATTGAATGCAGTAACAAGCTGTGCAGTGTCAACACAAAAGCTTAATAAGATTCTATCTATCTCTGTCTCTTTAGATCCCTATATGAAGTCTATTGCTGGTTAAAATTAGCATATTATCCTTACTGGATCCTACTGCTGCTGACAAAGGATTCTGATTTAAAACTTGTCTGAAGATTCTTGCACAACAAGCTCCTTGTATACAGTAGATTTTACTATCTCAAATTCCCTAATCCTCATTAAAAACCTCACGAAGACTTCAGTCAGCACATCCTTTGCAGGCTTTAGGATTATTGCTCATATTTCTGCAGAAAGACAAAAAGGAAGGAGGAAAGATTTTTAACCATGATATGTCAGGGTAATACTGTATTTTGATAAATCAGGATTTTCCCATTCTTTATGCTTTTTTCTTAAAGCTTAATTACGTATCATGTGGAGTGCTTCCACAGTAAGGGCAGTGCTTAGCCATTCAAATGCTGAAACTGTTATTGTTATATAACTTGATAATATATATCAGGTACTTTGCAGAAGACATATCAAGACATTGTCCTTGTCCCAGTGAGTCTATAGTCTAAATTCTCTGTGATCTACTGAGAACCAGTGCCAAGCAGCAGAGACACAGATGAAATATTACAGTAGTTTAATTGTGTATAAAATTTAAGCATGTACTTGTACTGTGGTACGTTCTTCTCTTTATCTTTTAATATAAATACAGGAAAATAAATATGAAATGCAGCAAATATTATTACCTATGCAATATGGTGTTTTCACTGAGCATAGCAGAGAGAGGGTGCTACACAAAATGCTGTTACATGGAAAAACAGGGAATAAAAAATTTATTGTGGAAAAAACAGACTTCAGGCTGACAGAGAAACCAATGACTTGCTAGGCCTGGCTCACGGAAACATCTACAAATATGTTTAAATTTACACAGTGAGGAGTCTCATTGACTTTCTCTTCCACTTCAAAGAATATATGTAATTTCACATATCAAAAAGCAGTAATGTCGGTCCAAGAAGCAGTGAGATGTTTCCCATGCTGGGTTAATATCCTGGGATGCAGAGGAAGCCACAGAGAACAACTCACACCAATGGCAGCAGTGTTGTGCATACGCACTCAGTGCTGCTTTGCAGTTAACACTTGGCTAAGTTTGTTGTATTAAAAATAACTCACAGATTAAAATGATTATTTTTAGGGTTCAATTTAACACTTTAAAATACAGAGCCTTGCAAAGTAATAACAAAATTCAGATCAGTTTCCTGCTGGGAGCAGGAACTGGTGACTTACAAGCCAGGTAGTTTTTTGCATGATTTGTTTATTTACAAAATGTCTTCTCAACCGATAGGTTAGAAATAGCAACACAAGCCTCTCTATCTTTGCGAACTTAACTAGTGTGTTACCTGTTTTCAGGAGGAGCCGTCTCCTAACTCTTTACCCAAGGCTCAGGTAGGCTTCATTGCTTCATCAGCAGATTCTACGTTCTCACTAAAAATCCCTTTGGTACATGTGTTTTTTCAATGACCACCTTGCCTGGAAAAGTGGATCTGGACACCTGGGAGTGCAGAACATAAAAGAGCCTTGGAGATCAAACCACCAGACACAGTAGCTGATGTGGTGGGATCTTTATTTCCTCCTCCGGAAAGATTGCCTCTGGACATTTTTATCAGTCACCACAATGGCGCCATGTGGTGAGAAGTGAGTTAAAGTACCTGACCGTGGATCCAAGACCCAGCCATGTGTCTTGGGAGTCAAAAGTAATTGAAATAGCACTAGCCACGTCATTCCTTTATGTGCCTTTGGTATAGACACTGACATAACTTAATCGCATTTAACCATGCCAGTTATGTGGCTTTTCCATTCTTTATGCCTAATTTTGAAAAAACAATATTCCTACTGGCTTCAGTAAGATTTCCCCTGATGACCAAGCCATAGCACCGCTTGTCATAATAAGCAAAAGTTGAAGGAGAAGCAGGATGGTCTTAAGACATGAATTTGGTGATTACAAAGTTTGATTAACACACAGAAGAGAAGTCTCACTGTTGTTTTACAAACGGAAGGTTTCTTGTACTGTCATACCAGTGTGTTTCCTTTCAACACAGAGGATCATTTCTGGAACATATTCTATGCCTAGTTTTACTGCTGATGTGTATATAGAAATATGTATAAAGCATTTATATGTCATAGCTTACTGGAAATTATCTGTCAGCTCCAGATGTGGATAACTGTTGAATAAAACCAGATCATCAATTGATTTTTACAAAGGCTGTGGAATGACGATTGGACAGTTATTTGGAGCACATCTTGAATGCACATAGCTTGAATTTGAGACGGCAGCCTAGACAAAAAGGACGCTGTCACCCAATGTCCTCTGTCCCCTTCAATAAATACTAGTCTCTCTGCAGTTTTAAAATGCTACCCACCATTGGACAACTTCTGTGAATAACAGTGAAGTTGGTTCTGTAATTTGTCTAGCTTGGTGAGGACTCGTTCATACACAGCACATCCTATTTGCTGTATGAAGGCTTGGGGACGGTCTATCATTATGGGAGAGAGTTGTACTTCCAAACAGTGGTATCTCCTGTGTACCTGAGGCACCTGTCATCAGAGTGAGTGGGATAGGCTGGATCACCTGGAGGTATCCATGTCTCCCCATGGATTATGGAGTAAGCCTAGCAGACTAGATCAAACACATAGCTTCTACAAAGCTAAATTTAAGTCAGATGAATCTGTGATAATTCCAGCCTCTGTGAGCTGGCAGATGAGTGGACTGAGGGAAAAACTTTTCATACCCGTCCATCTTCTGCACTGATGCAGAACTTGGTCTCAATACAGTCTTGAAATAAGCACAGGAGAGGAATGATTTGGCCAAACATACACCTCTGCACACATATCTCAACTAGTTGCCTGCTTTTTCTTTATAGCCAATAGGCAGAAATAGAAACGCTTAAGATCCTGTTTTTAGGTGACACATTTAATGCTAAAGTAGAAGTCTTAAATGGGTTAGATAAATTGTGCCTCCCAAGTGTTCCCTTCCTCTTCATTTCATTCAGAAAGGGAGGATAGCATGATGTGTTCAAAGCCTAAAATGAAAACAATAACATAAACAAAATAAAACACAAGAATTCAGCTTCATGCCTAACCTATTTTCTGACTCACCAAACCTATTCATAGTCTATTTCAATTTTTTTATTTTTTTTTTTTTTTTTTGTATTATGAATTCAAATTTTGAGGTGGCCACTGCCTGGTAAGGTGATTATTGAAAGAACCTTTATAAGCAGCCTGTAGCTAGCACCTGACTGCTAACTGATGCAGAAAGGCACACTACACCGCTGGGACTGGAAGCTGAAGACCCCACTTTCCTCTTCCAGGGAGTAGTGCCTTACAAGTTGGGGCTTACACTGTTATTTTAAAATGGTACAGTGGCATCTTATGCATATAGGAAAAATGCGCGCATCCATGGGTGTTTCTGGATGTGCAGGGAATATGACTTGCCTATAAACTGGCTACCCTGGCATGCCTGCTTGTGGAAGACAGGGTTGTGTAGTGGCCTGCCTACCGCTACAGTTAGCCACAGAGAAGCACTTTATCCTAAATTTATAGATTTATGGTTTGGGAATTTATTATAAATGTATAGAAATTATATGAAAGCATTGTACATAAAGTACCTTAGATATGAAGTACTTTGACTCTTTCCTGGACTTTTAGGGTTATTTTCTGACCACCTAGTCAAAGTCAGCATCACCGTTTCTTACTGCAGCTGATCGGTCCCAGGTACCATCTAACCTGGAGCATCGCTGGAGACATAGAGACAGACTGACAGCAGTTTGGGCGATCATCGCAGGAGCCGGAATCGGAAGCGGCGGTTGAAAGAAAGTACAAATGCTTGGGCACGCGTACCAAATTACAGGATACGGGAGCAAAACATGACACTTCCTTTGCGACATGCCAGTTAGGGACCCAAGAGGCACTACAATTCGCTGGAGCAAGTACTCATTAAGATCAATTAACATCAGAGCTGCCCTTCTGGCACGCCGGGGACTCAAAACACGACGTTAAGAGCACGACCCGGTTGGGCTGGGACTAGGGCGAGACTCAGAAGCCGCCTGTTAGGGAGCTTGGGGAGAAGCCAGGCTGGAGCTTGCCGTGGGCAGGCGGGCTTCTGGCGGTGGGGGGGGGGGGGGGGGGGGGGCGCGGCTCACAGCCCCCGCCTCACCGCACCCGTCCGCGGGGAAACGGCACCAGCCGGCGTAAAGGCTAGGGTAGCCAACAGCAGCGCACCGAGGACCCTCCACCGCCTTCCGCTTTGGCTTCAGCAACGAAAATAACGGCAGGGCCGCCGGGACCGAGCGGCGCCCCAGCCCGCCTGCCTCCCTCAGCCTCCCTCAGCCCAACGGCCGCCGCCACCGCCCGCCCCGCGCTCAGGCGCGGGCACGCGCGGCCCCGCCCCCGCGGCACACACACACACACACACACCCCCCCCCACACCCCCCCCCCGCGTCCCCGCCGCCGCCGCCGCCGCGCTCCTTCCTCCGGCGCCCCGCCCTCCCCGCCGCACGGGGCTTCCGGCGGCGCCTGGCGCGGCGGCGGCGGCGCGCGGCCCGCGCTGCTCCGCCCTCCGGACGGGGTAGGGTGGCGGCTCCGCGCGCGCGGGTGGGGGCCGCGCCGCTCTACCGGGGCGCCCCTCCCCTCGGGACGGCGGGCGGGAGGGCGGGGGGCGCCGCGGGTACCTCCTGCCGCGGCCCGGCCCGGCCCGGCCCGGCCTGGCAGCGCCGCCGCGGCCCGGTGCGTTGAGCCGGTGCTGCGCGGCCGGGCCGCGGGCGTCCCGCGCCTCAGGGAGAGGACCCGGAGGGTCCGTGGGCCTCGGCGAGACCCGCCCCCGGGGGAAGGCCCCGTGTCGGGGGTGCCCGAGGCGGTGGGGCAGGGTTGGGAGGAACCGGCACGGGAGCGGACAAAGGTGGCGGAGCTGGGGGGGGGTGCGGGTGGGGCGGCGCGTCCCGCCCGGCTCCCCCACGCGTGGTGGTGACCGCTGCGGGGTCCCTGCGGGGACGCGCGAGTTTGCACCCAGTCACCCCAGTTGCCCGGGCGCAGCACAACAGAGGCGGGGGGGGAGCTTAACCAGCCGCCTCCGCTGATGTGGGTGGGCGCTTGGGGCTGCCTCCCTCCACGCCAGTTGTTATTTGTCACGGGTGCAGGCGGCTGGAGGCGCAGGGAGGAGGCCAGTGACCGGCGTGTCAATGCTCCACAGAGTGTGACTGCGTGGAGGGGTGGTGCAACACTCTGAAGAGAAAAACGAGGAGACAAATGCACTCGAATTGCCTATCGAGAGTAGTATTGAATGGGGATAGTTTTATTTTTTCTTTTTTTGGCGTGAGGAGGAGAGTTTCGCCATAGCTGGAAGGGCAGCTGTTCAAAATGAAGCGGTATAGTGCTGGTGACTTCAGGCTTTGTGTAGAAGGAGTCATGTTTAAAAGATTAAAAACCTGTTGGTTTACCCATATTGAGAAACAGTTTCTGTTACGCGGTCAGGCAGCCCCCAGAAGGCAGGGTGGTCACCTGGAGCGTGTAATAGATGCCTGAGGAACTTTTCTCTCTGTTACACTGCGATGCTAAACCACGCCGACGAGTTCTGGTCCTAGCAGGAAGGAACAGGCATTCAGTGAAGTAATCTGAAATCCTGGGATTTCGCAGGTTCTGATGCTCATGACAGCAGCACAAGCAAGATTTTAAATAGACAGAATTGTCATAATGTTCCAGTTCTTTTCAAGCGGTAAATTCGTAAGTTGCAAATGTGTAAAATGGCTATGTTTTTAGTGTCAGAACACATTACAGGAAGAAACGGAGCAAAAGGGGCCTGAGTTTATGATGTAAGAGATTATTCATTTTTAATTAATATTAGCTTCTAGTTTCAACAAGTTGAGTGTAGAAGTTGGTATAATCTAGGTAATTAACAGTGAGAGATGCTAACCTGTGGTAAAAATACTCAGTTTTAGCTTGTAATGTAAGGATCCAGTATTCCCTCTGTGCATTAATGTAGAAAGATAATTAAGAGATTTCCCATTTTCCATCCTTTATCTAAGATGCATATATTAAATTGCATTAATCTTTCTTCAGAGATAATACAATCTATTGTTTTTGTCATTTATATGTTCTTTGTCAATGTTGCTGTTTCTTTTATAGTCAAATGAAAGGAAACTCCACACAGTACTCCCAAGTGTGAGATTAGCAAAGGTGGTGTAAAGGGGAATTATTACCTCTCTGGCTTTAAAAATCAAACCTGGTGTATACATGACTTGTATATACAACATTTGCTTCTCCTGAAATAGTATGAGCTCTTGTCTAACACATGCGTTACCAGGGATGGCTCAGGGACAAAATGTGGCATCATTATTTTTTTTCGCAGTCTAATAGCTGTTATTTGTTTTTACACACACCCTTCACATTGGAGCCCTTCCAAATCCCCAGTATTTTTCTGTATATTTCCCACCTTTTCTCAGCGGTCTGGTTGGTGAATAACTGCGCAACTACATCCTGTTTCTGCTCTCATAGGATGAAATTGTGAATACTGGGGAGCAGCGTTTGTGAAAACAACAAAAAGTAATAGGTATAGTAATTGTTAACAGGATGGGTTGGTTGGAAGCTGGAAAGTAGATTTGTGTATATAAATTCTCTGTAAAAGAGGTAAAATAGACTGAAGAGATCTAGTGCTTTTGAATGCTTTAGTTTAATTAGAGCCCGTTCCCATGAAATTTATACAGAAACCGTAAGACATTTTCCTTTATCAAGGTTTGTTGTGTTTGAAAGAAGGAAGTAGTGAATTACAGTCTTAGAAGGCTTTCTGTGTGTATAGCACGAAGGGAAGAAGGGTTAGTCGTAACAGAAAAAGAGGATTTGCACGTATAATAGGAATAGTTGTCATTTAAATAATGATATGAATAGGAGAGATTGTAAATAATAACATGGGCTCTAATGTATTTTGGAAGAAGGTAGCAGCTTTCTTCCTTTGGAAAGTTTTATTCCAGGTGTAGTTCAGTCTGGTTCTCTGGAGTCCTGTCTGTCGTGTGAAACTAGAGGTAACTCTTCCACGGTCCTTTCAGCTGGTCGGGCTCGGGGCTCTTGCAGTCTTACTGCCCTCCTGAGCCAGCACTGGCTTCGTGTTAACTGGCAACGAGTTGGGTCGGGGAGATGAACGGTGTGAAAATTGCTTGTGGGAGTGGTGGGTGTCTGGCCCGGCCGAGCCCCGGGACTCCTCCGGCTCCCCAGCAGTGCTGGCTGGAGAGGTAGCTGCAGAGCAGAGAGGGACGGGTCTGTGCGGGGCCGAGCTCAGGCCCCTGCCCAGAGGCTGGGCACTGGATCCGGTTTGGAAGTGCCAAATGGGCACGTAGGGCATAGGACAGCACTTCACAGGGTCGCCGTACGGTCATAGCGCGTTGCTTTCTGTTTCTAACCAAACCCTTAATGCCCTCTGTGCTGCTCTGTGGTGGCTGCTGAAGGACCTGGTATTTAATAGCTCTGCTTCAGTCCATTTAACAACACCTGGACAGAAAAACAAACAAACAAACAAACAAAAAAAACCCAAAACCCAAACAAGTAGAAGATGACTGCTGCTTGGGAGGAGGATAAGAAGATACATTTAAAAGTAACCTTTATTAAGCTTTGATTGGGCATAATTATGCCTGTACAAAAGGAAATATATAATACACAACAGACCAAAGATGCTGCTGGAGATTGGAAGGTATAGTTGCGTAGGCCCAAACTGATCTCTTAAAAAATATTTAAGCAGTTTGGGGGGGGTGGGTTTTCCACATAAACTTTGCATGTACATGAACTGCTCCAGGGCTGTCTGTCTTGATGCTTTGCATAGGCCTGAGTCTGCATTTTTATCTTTTTTTTTTTTTTTTCCAAAGTTAAATTCCTTTAATTGGAAGTCAGCTTAACCTGTGGTAGTTCCTGAAAAAATCTCTCTGTACCATCTGGCCCTACTGGTCTGTATTTAATGCGGTTCTTTCACTAGCTTATTATCCATTAACCTCCCTAGCAATTTTTTGTTGGTCTTTTAACTCCACACAATTCTTAATGCTTCTCTTAAAATGCCAAAAGAAGAGTTCCTATTTGTATTGTAATCCTAAATCTTATTTATCCTTCTTTTGTAATAGTTTTCTGTTTCCTCATACTTGTTATGAACTACTAAATCCTATATTGCCTTTAACTCTTTAGAAGGAATTTACCTCCACTTGTATTGTTTAGAATAATACATTTTTATGAAAGCTGCATGCTCCTCCCTGTTTCTTCTTACTTACTTTTGAGCCTGTTGACCAATGTCAGCCAAAATTGACAAAGTGGCGTCAGTGCCAAGGATATTACATTTTTACAGGTTTTATGAGAATCATGAAGTTGGTGGAAAGGGAATGACCCAAATTTATGTTTCCGCTAATGGAAGGTCTGCAGCATGATTTCAAGTTATCTGCTGTGTTAGACCTGACTTAAACTGGCCAGCTAGTTGATGTACAGCTCTGAACCAGCCGGCGGTTGTGCTGCTCTGACAAGCTGGTAGGGAGCACAGCCGGGTTTTCCAGCAGTGCTGTTAGAGCTGGGGGCTGTGGCCAGAGGAAGCCTGGAGTTTGCAGTGCAGATGTGAAGTTCTCTAGGAGGTATATGTGAGATAAGTGATTCACACCTGATCTTGGAGTACCCCAGCTGAATGATTCGTAAAATTGAGCTCTGTAAAGCCATAATTTCTGTGGAGCAGCCTTCAAACCATATTAATCAGTGAAATTTTGAGTTAGAAGCTAGTGTATGTGCTGGTCTGCACATGATTCCAGGGCTTGACAGCAGTAAGTTTGTTGAGGTTTAATGTCTGTTGGCATTTTCTGTAAATAGATTTTTCATTTTAAGAGGGAAAAATCCAGAAGGAGAATGTATTTGTAATCTTCACTTACATCTTACAGCAGCTCCACACAGAAAAAGTAACGATTTTCAGTTTGGAGTTGGGCTTTTTGGGTGGTTTTTTTCAGGGAGGAGAGGTTGGGGGTTGTTCTGTTTTTTCCCCAGTGCCTTTTCTAAAAGGTGGTTCAACAGGATGTTTGGGGGAAATGTGACATTATTGGGTTTTGGCATTCCAGGAGAGCTTGAAGTGGATCCAGCATATCGTCTTATGCATTCCCTTCTGCACCGAATGTCAGGAGTAATTCATGTTGTTGACAGCTATGTCAACCTGTGAAACTGAATGAAGGGCAGGAACTAAACAAAAAGCTAATAATAGAAGAGGCAAGAGAGTGAGAAGTGAACACTTCGTTAGTAAACTTTCTCGCTGTCACGAGTAAGAGGGTCAAATAGTGCAGCCTGTCCTTATCTGTTAGCACAAGCGCCTTCTTGTTGGCAACGTTCAAGCCAGAGCGAGCTGTTTGTACATCTATGTACATTTTGTGAGTATGGGAAACAAGCAATTTACCCAAGAAACACGCGCAGTGGATTTATATAGAGGCATACAACAGTCGCTTTGATTCATCTCCATTTCTTTAATTATTTACCCTACTTTAAGGTTATGCTTCTAAAAACTCTATAAAGAATGGTCTTGCTTGTACCCATTGCAAACACTGAATATGTGGTTTGTCTGCCAGGCAGGGTGAGGTATCATGTTAGTTGTTGTTTGATGCATCTTCTGCAATGGAAGAGTCGCCTCTGTTGGCTCAGTGATTACCACAGTATGTGTCCTGTGATAAACTAAGTGGCACTTCCAGTACAGGCTGTTGAAGAAACATTTATTCTATTTTGAGACATGCTTAGTCATCCCTGGTTTGGCCTCTGATAGGTTACGGGCATTACTCCTTATTCTTTCCTAGTAAAACTGATGAACAAGTTAATTGGAAGGCCAGTTTGTGGTACTGGAGGCTGTGAATTCTGGAGCGCTGTGTTGTTGCCCTGGTGTGTTGTGTACTGCTAGCAGAAATCAGAGAATATGTTCCATGTTTCGTTGTGTGTTGGTAAATGTAACAGTTTACATCACGCAGGTATGGAGCAGCTGCTAAATATGGGACAAGCATATGTAAGAGGATCTTTATTAGTAGGCAATATGATATAGCCCTTCTGTGTCCTGAAGACACCATTCAGCTATAAATATTTCTTCACTGTTGTGAATAGAAAACTTTGCTAAAGAGACTTACCTTTAATATGGCTTTTTCTAATTGTTAAACCTGCTTGCTTGTTGTGATTTGGTGTAGGCCGTGTAAAACACATCGGTATCCTTAATTATTAGTATGTTTTGTGTTGATTTTTTTTAGGTGGCCTGGCAGTATGCAGATCTAGTACATCTTGTGTTTAACTGAATTGTTACATAAATGAAAATATTTTCTCTTATCAGAAGTAAAATGCTTTCTACGGGGACTTCTGCTTCTGATGCCAGGACTCTTTTGAAGACTTACTTTGTTGCTCGGCTTAAAGGAAGATGAGGTTGTTAATGAATTCTAAGCATCCTTCAGGAGGCTGGAGACCCTTCTATCATTGGTGAATACTGTCATGGGCAACTTCAAAGGGTAAAGACAGTATTTCTGTGAGTCTGTTTCAGGCTAGTGCTCTGATACAGGAAGGGAGCGGGTTAAGCTTTTGCTTTAGGTTAACTGCCTAAAGCTCGCTCTTTCCACTCTTAAAACCATTCACAAATTATGGGAACAGATTAGAGGAAACAATTTGCTGGAGTAGCTATCCAACTTTCTATAAGAGCTGTCTTTGAAGGGTATTTTCACTCTCCAGATTTTAATATTAAAATGGGTGTACTTGAGCTAGCTTTAAATTAACTAACTTGGGCCTGGGATCAGTCTTATTGCAAAATATAAGCAGTGAAGTAACAGGTTTTGTTGAGCTGTACTGCTGCTGCCTGACTGGGTACCTGAGTCCTTTGTTTAGAACTCAATTTTAGTTTAAGTATTTCAAAACTATGCTATGGATAATTTTAGCTGTACCTTCAGATATACTTTCATTTCATATCTGATACATACAGACTTCATTTCATACTTGATTTAATTTCCATAAGTCAGTGCAAGATTTTTTTCTCTTAATAAATCCCTGAAAATAATGCTTAATTTAACCATTAGTCTTTCTGTTGCTCAAGGGCTAGTTTTGCCTAATGTTTCTTCACAGTCTTCTCTTTTTTTTTTTTTAAATACAGTAAATGGGAAGCAACACTTAATAGCCCCCAACTAAATAACTGTCTGAAAATAAAATAGTTTATTAATGGTTTAGTAGCAATCCTGTGTTTAAGAGGGTATTTGAAAGAGTACAGTTTGCTTTCAAAGAACGTTTTATCTGCTCACTATGTTTATTCATTCTGTTTTATCAGCTCTTTTCCAAAACACCACAAGCAGTTAATGCACCTTATCAGGGACTCCTGACCTTTTGCATCTTCCGAAGTTGTACCTAGATGTCACCAGTGTTTCCCATGTTAACAGTTCTGAGCATGTTTTACTATATGTGCCTTCGGCGCCGAGCTAGGACAGCGACGAGAGGAGAAATGAACAGCCGGAGGGCTATTGAATCAAACACCCGAGCCTTACCTATCAATGTTGAAATAGTTCAGTATGCCAAAGAAGTGTTGGATTTCAGCTCTCACTATGGTAGTGAAAACAGCATGTCATATACCATGTGGAATTTAGCAGGTATTCCAAACGTGTACCCTAGCTCTGGTGACTTCACTCAGACTGCCGTCTTTCGAACTTACGGGACCTGGTGGGATCGTTGCCCGAGCGCTCGGCTGCCGTTCACGAGGACGCCACCCACCTTCTGCAGCCAAGACTACGTGGAACTTGCTTTTGAGGAACCAGTTTATCCCACAGCAGTGCACATTCTGGAAACATATCATCCTGGAGCTGTAGTCAGGATTTTGGCATGCTCTGCAAATCCTTACTCACAAAATCCACCAGCTGAAGTAAGGTAATTTTTTTTTTTTTTTTTTACTCCTTTGTGCTTTCCTGTAAGATGTTAAATGCTACAAATAATGCTGTTTAGTGAACTTTACTTCCTAGTATTTCTCTGTTTTGTATTTGACCCACTAATGTTTTCTCTATTTCTGCATGTTTTTAAAACTGTGCTGACATATTTTCATAGCATGTTCAGAGATGTGGATTTTTTTGTAGGAATTAATACAGATCCTAATATCAGATTTAATTTGTGTAACGATAGTTTTTGTGTTGGAATTTTTATGAGCTATAATTATTATGTAGGTACAAAAACAACTTTTGAAATGGCAGTTCTGAGTTCTTCTCTTTCTCGAATAAGAAAAACAAATTGTGTAGAAGAGGCTAAGGAGTCACAGTTGCTGTACCATCCTTCTTCAAGTGGCCATAAACTCTTTCTTCTCTCTACGTGCTTTAGGTTGTATGTATAGTACAATCAGGTACTATAACTATTCATATGGAAATATGGCCAAAACCAGAAGCACAGAACAGTCGGACAAAAGGTGATGCCATTTGTCTGATCTTTTATTTTTGGTCTGATCAAAAGGTGTGAGCCACATTTCATTTTTACCCTTGCTTCGTAGACTAAAAGAAGTTGATTTGATCCTGCTGGTTTTCCTTATAGTAGGAACTCCTGATGAAATTCCAGTTGGGGGGGCAGGAAGATGGGGACCTGGGGAATGGTAAGATAATAAAGCAAAACACTCTGTATGAGGTGTGAGGCCCTTAGTGAGGAGGTGAGGAAATAGTGATGGAAGGAGAAAGACACCAGGTAAAAGCACATAGTGGGGAAAAACATTGGGGAAAGCTATCAGTATATGCAATCGAAGTATTCTGTATGCATCAAAAAGAGATTAAATGGTAGCAAACCCATAAAGGAAATGAGAACTGATAGAAGAAAGACTTAACAAAATGTATCCTGTAGAAAATAATATGCAAACAAATACTGTATTGCTTTAAAACGCATCCTTTGGCAATATAAGCAGTGCTAGCTTGGATACTGGGTGTTTTCTCCCTGACCTGCCTTTTACAGATAGAGCTAAAAAGCATACTTTTAGGTCTGGATTAGTATCCCATGCTTCCTAATACTAGGCCGTTGACGCTTATTCAAAACCCCTAGAAAACCAGGTGTCATGTTATATATTTAAAATTCCCAATGTGATTGTTCTTCTTCTTATCCTGAAATTCCAAATCACACAATCTTGTGTGATTCTATCATCTCCTGTTGTTTAGTGCAGTTGTTTATTTTGCAGCTCTATAATGAGTATATACTGCATAGCTCTGAAGTAAACATCCGAATTCAAGGAACAGTGATAGGTCAAACTAATAATAATAGGCTGCCTAACTTCAGAAGTAGGAATGTGTTTGGCACTGTAATGCAGAACTTATTTATAGATGGTATGTGGTGAAGACAGCTTTTAAGACTTTTGAACTTGGAACCTAATGTGAAATGACTTTTGGCCAATTACTCCATGAACTTTCATTTTACTGTTTTTTTTTTTTTATGATGTAGAATTTACTTATTTTATAATGTAGCACAGATTTCTATAGAGATTACTTCTGTAACTTGATAATACTGCATTAGGGTAATAGTGAGATAGTGTGCTGCAGGGCAATACAAGGATATAATTCTGAGTAATAACCTAAAGCTGTTTTATAAAAATGTCTGATTAGGTTTTGGTTCTTAATACATTTTTTTATTTTTGTGTAAAGTTCAAGAAGTGTTGAAGGAAGGCTCAAGGAACGTTGACTGAAGGAGCTATTTAGTAAGGTGCACTCAAAAAAGAGAAAATTGTTCAGAGAGCTAAAAGAAGATGGAAGTGAATATACAAATAGAAAGCTTTTGGGGATTGCTTTATGGTTCCTCTTGGGGTATTGTTAGAGTGAGAGCTTGGACTTTCCCTTCTTAAAAAAGGATGTAGTTTCTGCAGGGCCCTGCTTTTTGATTTGTAGGTAGGAGTATCTTCTGTTCTGTCTACCTAGGATAACAACATTTTTGGTTAAAGAAGGTTGTTTCAGGGAGCTTCAGAACCAGCTGTCTGTGCTGCATCTTCACTACTTGCCAGTCTTGATGCTAGAGAAGTGTTAGAGGGACCTTTTTTTTTTTTTTTTCCATTTTGGCTTACCTTTCCTCAGCAGGACTTGTCTGTTCAGAGCTGTGTATTTGGTTTGCCTCCTCCTTTCTTCTGAGGGAGATAAACATGTCTTATGCATGGTGTCATGAAGGGAAGATCAAGGAGCCATTTCTCCACAGGAGGTGTGCAGTACTTTTTCCTGTTCATTTGCTCACCTTTATGAGAGGAATATTAACAGTTAGAAGAACACAATCTCTTTTCTGATTCAGTTCTTGGTCCCTTGTTTTCACTTCCAAAAATTCTCTGAGATGTCAACTAAGAATTATTTTTTTGAAAGTGGAATGTTGCTGATAATCTCAGGTGATTTCTGCGTTTAGCTGATGTTTTGGACTTGAAAAACTGCCATACTGTTTGCTTCTGTTAAAAAAGGCCATGTCCCAGTTACTCGAAGGGCATTTTACAACCTTGTTTTCCTCTTCTGACTATTTTGATACTCAATTTTAAATCACCTTATTACCTAAAAACCTTAAAGTGCTGCTTTGTTTTATCTGCTGATTCAGGATCTGTTTCTTTCCGAACACCAATGTAGACAGGTCAGGCAATTAGAAAGGTTCCTTTTCACCAGTACCTACTTCGATATAAAAAGAAGGCCAAATTAATGGTAGAGTCAAAACTGAGAGGGAGAAGTCTGTTGAGATTTGTTTAAATGTTATACTTTGTGGATTATACTAGTCCCGCTCAGTAATCTGTTTTTCTCTTTGTTTAGTATTTGAAACATCAGCTCGTCCAAGGCTTTGCTGTATGCAAAAGCTTCTAACCTACAAGAGGCTCTGTAAGGACTTGGGGTACTGCAGTCCTTGCTCAAGAAGACTTTGTATATTCTTGTAGAAATATAGCTGTAGCCCACGTAGTTGGTCAGCGTACTGCTCTGTTGCTCACTTGATGCTTCAGTTGCATCAAAGAATGACTTGTGCAGGGGTTCAGAAAAAGGTCTTCAGTCATGTTCCTCTGTTGCTGGCACACTGAATACTGCTATCAGTGACAGCTTTGTATGATACTGTCTCAGATCAGTTCTGTCCAGTCTTTTTAGAGGTGAGATCTGCTCTTCATGTAATTGGAATATGCATTTATTTTTCAGAATTGAATGTAATTGTTCCTAAATAATTCTGATGCTTAAAATATGACAGTTAATGTGAAGATTTTTCATTATGGTTTAACCAGCTTCCATCAGTTTGAGGATTCTTTGTCCTCTCATCTCTCTTGCTGCTTTAAACACAGAAGATACTACATCACTCTCCTCTGCGTAAAACAATTTTTAAAAATCATAAATATCAGGAAAACTGCTGTCTTTACACGTGGAGACCTTTTGTGCTTGTCATTAGTGCCACTCCCACCTTGACTGGTAAGAAGTGTTTGGTAATTTCTTAAACTGTACTAACAGATGTTAGTATCCATGTACAAATTTATTATATGAATTACCTGAGCGCAGAAAATCCAAGCAAAAATTAATAATCTGGGGTTAAGGAAATACTGTAGCGCATAGTCTCAGTTTTTATGTGGTGAAGAAATCCCTCCCTCTTTTCTATTGTGTTGTGCTATGATGATTATGCTAATGTAGCCTTCAGATTGTGCACGTTCTGTGTACTTGGGGTTTGGTGACAGCCATGAGTCCCTCTTTGGCCCATGGAGGAGGCAGAGCTCCACACAGGCGTGATGGGGACACTGCACCTGATAATGGCATGAGCTGAACCCAACCAAGAGAATTTTCTTTGTTTCTCGTAGCGTATTAGATTGATGGATAAGCTATAGCTAGATTCTGTGAGGAAGAAAATGTTTTCTTTCCTGTTTGTTTTTCCTCCTCATTTACCCAGAAGGCTTACTCTTGGCAATTCCCTAATGGCTTCTTCGGTATCAGCCCTTTTGAAACATTTTGATACTCCTAATAGTTAGCTGCTGTCAGACATGAAGAGTCTGTGTGTGTTTAAATGGGAGCTTTCAAGTCAGAAATAATTTTTTCAGAAGTTTTTAAACTTTTTCCCTGTACAAAAATAACTTAGCTTTTTAAATTTGGGATATAAAAGAAAAAATTGGTCTCCGTTCTTCTTCTGTCGTGGTCTTTTTTTAACTTAATTTGACAGTTTCTCTTATCTCATGTACATTATAGTGACACCACATGTTCGTGTGCTTTTATAAAAGCTCAAAACCAGAGATTCCTAACTAGTCAGGGGTGCATGGCAGTGCTTGGGGTGATGTTTCATAGCACATGTCCTTACTGCTCTGAGATTATTGCTTCTTCAGAAGGCTGGAGATAGTTTTGTGATTATTTTTTCCCTTGTTTTCCACAGATGGAATACTGATTAGTGTTGCTTCTCTAAGGTGTAATACTGATTAGGTTGTTTCTCACAGGTGAGATACCACGATCACTTGACTGACTGGGAGCAGTTCTGTTCTGCCTTGTGTGTTCCTGTCATTTATTTAATTTTTTTTCATGACATTTAGATTTTTGCTAGATTGTCTTCTGAGCAAAATTCCAAGTTTGATTTGTAGACGAGTGGCTTGGCTCAGTATTGCCTAGCTTAGCTGTGTTTGCTGAATGAAAGGTTCCTTTCTCTTTCCAAAGGCCTTGAAGCCTGGAGAGGCAGAAGCTGCTGCAACCAGATGAGCAGGCTAAGAAAGATGGACAAAGTAAAAGGCTCCCTCTCCTTCCATGGGGAAGTTCATTGTATTTAGGCAATAGAGTGCTCATCCAGATAGGAATTCTGTGGACTTGTTTGCTGGCAGCCAGGATAGGGATCAAAATGTTTGATGAAGAAAATTCCCCCTTTCGGATACAGGGAGTGAAACCAGAAAGTGTACTGGATGTGAAGTACCCCGAGTCTCTTGCTTGCAGAGTGGCATTCAGATGTTTTTTTTTCTCTACCTTTTATTCCCTGTGAATCTCAGATGAAGGCACCCAAAACACTGCTGATACCATCAACACATTAGAATGTGATAAGGGACCTTCAGGGCTGTATCTCACCTATGTGTAACACACAAGCTTAAGTTCTGGCCATTTGCATCCTTACTTATAACTTGTTTTGACATCTTCAGGCAAACAGCTTTTTCTTGTCCAGATGACTGTCATAGAAGAATTAATTCTGGGTTTATTGGAGACAGTAATTTTTGAGAAACCCATAAAAAGCTCATGTGGACAGGGCAATTATTTGAAGTATCTTTTGCTATTTAAAATGCATTGAGCATTCTTGGAGTCCTGTCTGCTCTCTGTTATCTCAGAACTGAACTCAAAAGTAGAAATAAAAATCTGCTGCATATTCCCCCATACTAATTAGACTGCTGTGAACAAATGCAGGCAACCTTTAGGGAGTCTTCACTCCCATTCACATTACATGTAACCCAGTGAAGTGTCAAAGCATGGATCCTAGATGAAGTGTCCACTTCCAGTTGTAGTAATGTGTGTATTACGAGTTTGTCTATACTCAGGAAGAATCTACCAATGCTGACTCAGAGCGATTGCAGTGGCCTGTTTTTGTGTGCAGTGCCACCAAGGCAGAGAACATCAGATCAACCTGATAGACTTGAGGTTTTCCATTTAAGCCAACAGCTAACTCCTTTAAAGTTAGATTGGTGAGCTGTTGTTGAAAAGAAGACAGTGTGATAAGCACAGTGGAAAATAGTCACCAGTCATCTTGTTCATCAGCACGTGGTATGTGTTGTAGAGTTTCACAAGATTGTAAGGTCATGCTGCGTATCTTTCCTTTTCTCTAGATTATTACAAGGGCTGGAAACTAGAGACACTGTTTGCTGAAGGAGGTTATTGCTCTGCAATTTGATGAACCTAGACCTCCAGATGCTTTATTTTTTGCCAGAGCTCTGCTACTGCTAGATAATCCAGGACACTAAAGGAGAAGTCAATAACTGAGACGCATTTTGTTAAAAGTTGATCGTCCAGCATGTGCTAAATTAGTGAAAAAATAGCCTAGAGTTTCCTTGAGGATAGTTTGGGTGGGTATATGAAAGTGTCTAAGCAAAATGTCAGATGGTGATCTGGATGGATTCAGGAAAGGTCATGTGCATTGCCAACATTAAGTATTTGCTTAGGGAATCGACCTATGTGAGAGGGTGTGACCGTGGGACTGCATCTCTTATTTCTTGCCATGAGTTGACAATCTTCTCTTGGTAATAAGTCTCATTAAAAGCTGTTAACCTTAGGGTAGAGTTGTCCACTCTCCTATGTTGGTACTTTCTGATGTGCCATATATTCACCAGTCCTGCATGTTTGTTTTTAGTTCATGACTTCTTTTTTTTTTTTTTTTTTTTTTCCTTTGACAGAAGACTTCTGCAGGCCTCCCATTCTACTGTAAGGTATTTGTGGAGAGTGGCATGATGTAGGATAGGAAAATTTATCTGTGCATACCTGAAAATGTCCATTGTGAAATGGAAGTTTCAGTCTATGGATTAATTTTCCTATCCTGGAAATAGTAGCAAATATCAAGCTTCTAAGCCTTGTTTATACTGTGTGCTATGCTTTAATGAAAGTCCTTACCTATGTTCTGCTTTCTGTCATGATGGATAAAGTTTAAGCATTTGGTTCTGGAAAATAAAGCATGTTTGATTTTATTTCTTTCCCCCCTCCCTTCGCGTGTTTTGCGGTACATGTCAGTATTGAGCAATGCTTGTAAGTTCAGAGTAGTGGTATCTGGTGGGGAAAGCCAAGATGCTGTGGTACTGGGAAGCAGATAGAGCATTTCTGAGACCCATATGACAGGACAAGTAGCCTGAGAAATCCTTGAAACTGGGACTAGGGTGGTCGAAAGAGATGGAGTAGGTGTGGAAGTGTCTGCGTTATGCATGCAGGATGCAGAGATTTTTGTAAGCGTACTGTCAAAGGGAGTAGCAGCAGTGCTGCTGGAGGCTTCCTTCTTTAGGCATTAACTAGACTTGAGGGAGGAAAAGGCAGGCATCAGGGACTGAAGGACCTCTAAAATCCATTCACTGGATGAGGACCTATGCAGACATAAAGAGCATGTTTCTGTCTTTAGCCCTTTTGGCAAGTTTGAGAGCACTGAAGACCTAAGGAATATCAGACTTGAATCTCCAGATGACTCAATCGGTAGTAGGTTTCACTGTCATTTACTGGAGGAGATTTGAGGTCTGCGTGTGAAAGTAAGGATTTATGTACGGAAGTTCTGTACATGCCCTGAACCTCCTTCTGTCACTGGACCACTGGAGAAAAACCTTTCAGTTTAGCAGTTTGGGAACTCTAATGTTTTTTGCAAAGGAACCTTTCAAAAATGACTTGAAGATTCTATTTTCTTTGGTAATTTGACAGTGAATTACTTTTATAAGGAATAGTTTGCTTGCTTAGACTGATAAAATAAAATTTAGATTATTTTAAAAATAATTTGCAGTGCTGCAATTTGAACACATTTTTTGTTAAAGTCTGAGCTGTGGGATTTTTTTTTTCCTTTATTTTATTTTGTGAAAACGTTTTTTGGGAAATGAGAGGTTAGCTGACTGTGTATTTGGGTTACATGGCAAGACTGTTTACTGCATACTTATACTAACATGCCATCATTGTGAAGACATCTGTAATCCATTTGTTACGAGTACCTTACCTGTGAGATGTTAGAACAACTTGTGAGTATATAACAGTACTCTAACACTAGTGTGTGACTGTGAGTATACAGCTTGTTTTGTTAGTTAGCAATGCAGAGAAAATATGCAAAGGTTATGCATTAGTGTGCCCTGTTAAATTAATCCTTAGGATATTTATTGAATCTAGGGAAAACATAATCTTCATTGTCTTTTCAACCATGTTTCTCACGTTTAATACTTCTGACAAAGAAGCACTCTTACTGTGTTCAGGAATTGCTTTAGTAACTTTGATTTTAATTCCTATACTGTCTGTGTGTGCAATTTTTCTTTTACAGATGGGAAATCCTTTGGTCCGAGGCACCTACAAAGGTGAATGGTCCTCAGGCTCGGCAATTCACACCCTGTATCAAACAGATAAACTTTCCCACAAACTTAATCCGACTGGAAGTGAACAGCTCTCTTCTGGACTATTACACTGAACTGGATGCAGTAGTACTACATGGTGTGAAAGAGAGACCTGTGCTTTCACTTAAGACTTCGATGATTGATATGAATGATATTTATGAAGATGAGGATGAAGAAAAGTATGACTGTGGAATGGACACCCTTAATAAACAGTTCAGCATTGTTACCCTCAGGGAATGGCCAACTAATGGATATTTTGATAAACTGCCTTATGAGGTAGGAAAAGCATGTTTATGCTCAGTGTATTTGCCTTGATCATTAAGGCTGCGAAGGTGCTTTATAGGGTACTGGTGAAGATTGTTTTTTCCAGTTAAGAGTTCTTGCATTCTTTTGTGAATGTTCTGCGGTTATTGTATAATTATGCCTGAATTATATAAGTCTGTCTATTTCCATGGATGGATATTAGCAAGCCACTTAGCTTGTATCTGCATAGTTACTGCACTTATTTCTCAAGAGTCTGTCCACTCACAGGTGTTTACACCAAGTATTCTAGCCTTGAATTTGTAGCTCTTGAATTTCTAAGCTTCTGGCAGTTTGCCAGTAGTTTTAGTCCTCATGCTTGATAAAGATGATGTATAAAAGAAATATTAAATGATTCAATCAAAATCTGGGAGTGTAATTAGTTTGTAATAAGCTAAAAGTTTATTTTCCTGTTATCTCTCTTACAAAACACCAGAACTTTGTTCTTGAAACTGCCATCAAATTTTCATATCCTTATGAAATAAGCTTCCATTTCGCGAAGTACTGAATCATGGTGCAGGTAAAAAGTGTTATAGTCAGACTTCTGTACTGCGTCTTGTTTTGATGTTTGTTACTTTTTATTCTGTCATTAGCACAGAAGACAACTGTGAAGAAACTCCTTTCAAATCTGGGGGCAGTGGGGCAGTTGCAGGTGTGCTGAGAGTCTGTGTAGATAAATATTTTCTTTCCTGTAATTTCCAGTGTAATGCGATTGTGAAGCATGAAGGCTGAATGCTGTGTGCAGGCCAGGAGGTTCTCAGTGGGGTGTAGCTGTTTATTGAGGGTAGTACCCTGGTTAGAGTAAGAATTGAGAGACTAAATAGTTGTCTTAGCCTGTCCTGAAATAAACTGGGTTTGCACATAGTGGAAAGGAGCCTTTACTTGCCGGTCAGACCTCTGGACTTGGGCAGAGACATGATTGTTCCCGCTCTTCAGTGTACTGCGGTCTGGCAGAAGTGAGTGTTCGTTTACTGCAATAACTCTTCAGATGCTCAGAGTGCTTGTGGCCTGATTCAGACTTGCTTTTGAAAGTGAAAGGAGGAGGGTGAGAGATGCTGTCACTGATTGCAGGGCATTTTCAGAAATACCTGATCTAATCGAATAGTATTTTGGTTTTCTTGCATCTTGTGACTCTTACGTAGTTCAGCTCAGCACCTGAAGACCATGGTTGGGTGACCCGGGGCCCTAATAACCTGCAGAAGTTTGCTGTGCTTGGAAAGAGAGGAAGAAAATGTAACAACTCTCTCCGTCTTTCTCCTGTGTATTTATCTTCTCTTGGGAAGTGGAGTAATAAATGAGGGTACTAACTTCATCTTGAGTTAGCTCTAGTACTGTGGTTTTTTTTTCCCCAGAGTTCCCCGGTTTAATGTATTTTATTGTCAATGCTTGTATGTCAGTGCTGAAGCAAAGTACTCTGCACATGCAAAGGTGCAGTTGATTCCAGAACGTCTTAAAACATGTAACTGTTAGAAAGAAAATGTGTTGGTTTTAGTCATTCAAATAAGTTAATTATAGAAAAAAACTTTTAATCTAGGAAGTCTTGTTTGAAAAGGCTGGATAAGTTAATTTGTGGTATAGTAGAATATCAGAGAGATTAATTAACCTCTCTTCTGTTCCATGTGATTATCCATATTAAGATTATAATTTAGCAAGTATTTATGTAACACTCCTATTACTCCTGTGAACTTCTGCCTCCATATACTTTACTGTGCTTTTCTGTTTTCCTGTTTGTTTACCAGCTTCCTTTTTTATCCATTTTTTAACATTCTTCGTTTCATGAATGCATTTATATGGTCTATCAATACCAAGTACATTTTTTTTCTTCTGCTTTGATTTAAAGAAACTGAAAATATGGGCAGAATATTTATCAGAAAACTACAGAAGACTATTTCTTGACTGCTTTTGTGACAGCAGAAATCCCAGTCTCCTACTTTCTTGGTCCAACTGGAAGGTTTGGGTATCAGAACAACAAAAATGTTGTGCTTTGTAGTATGACAGTTTTTTATCGCCTCATATATGGGAGCAGTGCTGTGCATGCTGTCTTCAAGACTGACAAGTGTCAGATTTTTCTGGGAACTGTTCGAACCTTGTAATGATGAAGTAAGGCAACCGTTGACTCCTTCCAGTTTTGATTGATATATTACATGAAAAATTGTATCTTTTTATACATTTGTGTTGATTGTGAACGTGTAACTGTCCTAAGTCTTTATACATATGCCTATACTTTGAGCTGTTTCAGGCCTTTTCATGCTACTCTCCATAATTCAGAAAATACGCAGGCTGAATGGTCTTCTGGCAGTAGTTCCTCCGGCCTTTGTCTTGCCTTGGTTGTCTTTCTGAAACTTTCATAAACTATCCTTTCATAGACCATGTTGTTCTTCAAAATGACATTAGGAATGTCTTGCTGCCGTGTGAGCTCTAAAAACATGAGCTCGCACTCAAAACATTGTAAGAGTCCACATTGCTCCTTCCTACAAAAGAGAAAAAATAAATGCTCAACTCCTGGGGCACAGACTTCCTCAGAAGAAAGTGTGAAATCTTGGATGAACTAGGTGAGAAAATTTTCCTTCCGTGCTCATGGACATTTGTGCTGGGTTTAGGTGGCGGGAGTTTTGGTAGCAGGGGAGGGGGCTACAGTGGCGGCCCCTGTGAGAAGCTTCTCAGAAGCTCCCCTGGCTCCAGGTCAGACCCACCTCTGCACCAGGGCCGAGCCAGTTAGTAACGGTGGCTGCGCCTCTGCGATTGCATATTTAAGAAGGGAAACCAGAGAGGGGGGCTGAGATTTATGAGGAGGAGTTAAAAGACACCTAGGCGAACACCCAGGACAGTGGAAGGAAGGGAGGAAGAAGGGGAGGCGTGCCAAAGCAGCGACCCCTGTATCCCGTGGGGAGATGGCAGGGCTGCCCACCCTGCCACCCGTAGAGGTCTGTGGTGGAGCCAAGGCTGACCTGAAGCCTGTGGAGGAGCCCACCCCAGGACAGATGGCTGCACTGAAAGGAAGCTGGGACTGTGAGGGGAGAAGCGGCCCCCGCTGTTTCCGTTCGGCGCTGGGAGGGCTGCGACGCGCGGGGATGACCCAGGCCGGGTCAGCGCAGGAACGGCTGCAGCCCGTGGGGAGGGGTCAGTGGAGAAGGTTCCTGGAGGGCTGTCTGCAGTGAGAGGGGGGCCCCGGGGAGCAGGGGAGGGATGGGCAGCGTTCCCCCCCTCCTGAGCGGGAAGGAGCAGCGAGCTGGCTGTGACCCCCATCGCCTGCCCCTGCGCCGCTGGGGGAGGAGGGAGATCCAGAGCAGAGCTGAGCTGGGAAAAGGAGGGAGGACTAGGGGGGAGGTGGTTTTTGGATGTGATGGCACTTCTCACTGTCCCACCTTGTCTGTTAAGCGTTGTTTTTGTTAGTGTTTGAATTAGTGATTTTTTTTTTTTTTTTATCCTTCCCCTACTGAGCCTGTCTTTTGCCATGACCCTAATGGGTGAGTCACCCTTCCCTGTCCTTATCTCTGTTCCCAAGCCTTTTACTTTATTTTCTCCTTCCCATTCCTGAGGGGAAAGGGATGAGTGAAGGCTGCATGGTGCTCAGTTGCCCTCTGGGCTCAAACCAGGACCATGGTGTTAACTAGCCCTTAGTAGCTGTGAAATACTATCATCTGTTCTCCAGAATTACCTTCAAATGGGGGAAGTATTTTCTAGGAGACACTTCATGTCCTTGTCTGTCTTCCCAGTTATCTTTGACTAACTTATGCTGCTTGTGAAGTGGAAGGAGTAGGGCCTTAGTCTTAGCTGGCTGTGCAGTAATGCTTGGGACCTGAAGGCCTGAACATGTTAAAAGCCTGTGAGAAAGGTGAGGAATACCTGCCACAGCATACCTGTTGTGCAGTTTTGAGACTCACCAAGAAGTGCCAGGCATCAAGAACCTAACTTTTGATCTCCATAGAGGAGACTCAGGAGAAATCTTGCATGCTGCAGTCCAAAAGATATTTTTTATATATAAATTTTGATATAAAAAGATATAAATGACATCTTTGTCATTCCTTGAAGCCAATTTTTCCTAAAGCTGCCTACAAGATTTATGAGCTGTTCATGTCTACTGGGGAAGTGAATTTCACCGCTAAATGTGGATTTGGCACCTATGTTCTGGGAAAATGGGTCTTGAATATAAGATTTACGTCCCTTAAATGATACTTAGATAGAAGAGTCGGAGCCATAAGCAGGATCATTTTTAAGCATCATACGCTTTTTTCCCCCTCAACAGTAAACTTCTTACATCTTTCCAGAACAAATATTTGTAGGCTTTCAGATAAGCAGCAAGATTTTATGCCTCTCTGGAAAGAGAAACTCATGAGGGTCTTAAAAGCCCTCTTAACAGCTAATAACCATATGCACAAGATTCCCTTCATATAATGGCCAATATACTGCCAGTTGCTGTAGCAGACTAGACTCTGAGCAGCGGTACGTGGAGAGGATCTCTCTCCAGCTTTAGTCTTCCTGGAGTCCCAATTATTTGATTGTGCAGTAAGATCCTTTTCTGTTCTTTGAATCAGGAAGGGGCTTAAAGCCTTTACAGCCTTTCAGTTCTGAGAGGATCAGAGCCTATAGCCTGCTCTGCCAAAGCATGTTATCTGAGTAGAAGACAGAAAAGAGAGACTTAAATGGGTGTGTTTTGTGAAACAGTTGGAAGGTCCACTTTTCATGTGTTCAGGTATGCCATTAAATGTGTATGTACTTGCTTGTGCAAGCTATAGGATCATGGAACTAGGGACTGTGCTTTCTTAAGGTATGTTGGGGGATGTCAAAAGCCCTAGAATACCATCTTCTCCTTCCTGCCTTCTCTCTTTGCCTTTTTGTGCACCTATCCTTTGTCCTTTATCTGATCATGTCTTAGGATCAATTCTAATTAATTAGATTTTAAGCTGTGGCAGCTCTAGCTGCAGAGTTAAAAAAAAAAAAAAATGCAAGTCATTCATTTGTGTGTTTCTGAATGAGTGGTTTGCATAGGCCAATATATTTTCATACTGGAGGGACTCACGTTGAAAACTGGAAGAGGAAATTTGTAGAAAGTGCGTGTGTTCTAGGTTTGACCAGCATCCAAGCATCATTTTCTGACCAAATCAAGTTCTTCATTTCTGTGCTCTAGTGACAGAAGGTATTTGATTGGGTGCAAATGATTATTGCTTGCTGTTAATCAGCAAAAAATCTTTAAAAAGCTGGGAAAATTTTTGTGTGAGTATGTACTATTAGGAGCTACACCACTAGTAAAGTTTTACCCCATATATTGAAGAGTGTGATGGAGATCCTGTCTGAGCTGATAAGTGAACTTTGCAGTAGGTGAAACATCTGTTTTTTTTAAGATGTTATATTTTTTAATTGATAATTCAAAATATATGCATATATGTAAGATACTGCAATTGGTGACTGATAATAAAGCACACATGGATCAGGTATGAATCAGGATCATTTTTGTGCTCAAATGGCACAAGGTGAATTTGTATACTGCTGTTTGTTGAATTGTGGAGAATTATGATTTGGAAACCTCCAGGTTTTGGAAGTTTTCACTGTAGTGGGTGTTGATCTCACCACATCTCTACAGTTGGCATGTGCCATGTTTGCCCTGGAAATGGGAGAGAAAGTACTTTTGTACTTTTGGTTCATCATAGTCTAAAAAGGCAATCAGTGTTGTATAAATTATATTTTGTTTTCCTCTTTATACTCCTTTGTATTGTTTTTTCAATAATTTTTTTTTACTGATTGATTTATAAAAAAGTATGAAACAATAATGGTTGCCATAATTTTTCATAAATGCAGAGTAAAAACAGTTGCTTGTGAGAAACTGTTATGAAATTAGTTTTCAAAGCAGATAATTCTGCAGCATTCTTGGAATCACCATGAACACAGCATAGCACAATACAGCACATCATGTCACATACTCATTATGGTATCAAATTGTACTTTATGCTAGGATACACATACATAAAAAGCAAATTTCTGACAGACACCAGACTCCAGACTAACAGTGATTAATGGTTATTAGCCTGTAGGTTTGGAACCTGTTATATTTGTTTAATCAAAAGCCAGAAAAAAAAATACTTTATATCTTAATGTCGCAGTAGTAACATTTCATTATATTTTTTTCATTCTAGATATTATGAAGTAGCATAATTTCAATAAAAAATAAAGAAGAATTATTTTTTCAGATTAAGACATTTGTGTTGTGAGAGATTTCATCCCAGATGTGGAAAGATTGCAATGTCCTGTATGTTATGAAAATATTCATGGAAGTCATCAATTAGTGTAAAGGGACATTGGTGGGGCATTTACAGTTTCACTCACCATTACCTTTACTGCTCAGAAGTTACAAAATAACTTTTATTTTTCCATTGATCAAAATTTGTGTTACTTTGTTTTTATCAGACATTATTACGCCACATTAATTGCAGACATAAATTTAGATAGTTGTGCAGCCTTTGCTGATCTCTCTGCTCTAGAAAACTTACTAAATAAGCATGGGAAAAGTCTGAGGGAAGAAACATTCATAAAACAGATATTTAGGTGGCTTACATAGTGTGAAATAGCTGAAAGATTGAAAAATAATTTGAAGCTGTCTTTCAGAATATTTGAAAATTTCTTGAAGTGATTCCATGGTCTTAGAAAAATAGGTATATGTTTAGGTATCTGCTATTAGAATGACAAAACTGTGTTAAGCAACTTTTAAGTACGGGTCTGAGCCAAACAAAAATCAAGATATTAAACTGGGAATATATCTATGTTAGCTCCTAGTTATATTGTTCTTTCTCAGATACAAAAATGCCAACAACCTAAATGTCAGTTGGGAGAAACTTTGTTGATTATATTAACTGCAGTTATTATATATGCATATATATTTTATATATATATATATTGCTGTCACATTGAAATGTCTACGCAGATCCTCTTCATCAAACTGAGGTGAGAGTTCCAGGCACCTGCAGAGACAAAAAGTCTGGGCTGCTTTTAGGGGAAAGGAGGAGCGAGAAGGGAAGAGGGAAGGCTTGAAATCAAGCTTGAGAGAAACTGGAGTATATGCAAACACTGTATTTTGGCATTGGAGTTGAAGCTAAATTTTTTGAAGAGTCGTAAATAGTGTTTGAAATCCAAATACTAAATCTGGAGCTGAGTAGGAAGTAACATTTTTCATTTTGCAGGAAGTTGGATTGTTTTCTTATTTCTTCTCTTTCAAAAATGAAGGGGGGGAGGAAGGGAGGCGGAAGCTAGCTGCATAATAAACTGGTACATTGGAAGTACAATCTGTTTGCATCTCACAAAAAGCTTCATTTTCGTTTTATGTCAAGCATTTTATTCTGATTTTTGGTGGGTTTGTCTTACGAATCATTATAAAATACGAAAATGAAACGTTATGGTATTTTGAAAGGGCCACAGGAGTCTTCAGTTTAAACTGATTTGTGGGGTTTTTTGGTTGTTCTTTTATTTTTTTTGGTTTACACTGATTCATTTCAGCGAGTTACTGTGTCCCACTTCTTGAAAACAGTCAATTTTAGTTACATAACTTGAGTGCAGGTACTTATAGCTGTTAAAGACAACCCTGGTAAAGTAAACATTAATTTTTAGATTTCATTTTTGCAAGTGCATTTTCTCTCAGTTGCTAAGCTAAAGGAGTTTTTTTTTTGTTGAGCATTTTGATTATTTCCTAAAGTGAGTATTTATGTGTCTGTGTGTGTTGATCTTCCTTTAGAAAGGAAAACAGAGGATGATAGGAAATGGGGGATAATTCTTAATTTCTGAGAGAAATAAGTTATTACGAAAACATGTATAGTGGTTTCATCATCAGAAGGACTGGTGATTATTCTGAAGCTGAGATGGTTCAGTCTCATAAAGATAAAAAGGGGGTTTGCCTTTCAGATTTGACTCTGGCATAGAACAAAAATACTCTCAAGGTATTACAGCAAGGAGGAGATTACTTCGTAGATCTACATGTGTTGAATTTTTTACCTAGTTGCATAGTCCAGCATGGGTGGGAGGGGATATGAGAGAGAAGACAGAACACTGGTTTTTGAAGCAGGGAGCAGAGGAATAAATCTGAAATCGGTTCAAGGTGTGGGGAAACTTGGACATGGAATGGCTTTTCCATGTACTCTGCAAAAATGCTACTGTCTTAAAAACCAAATCCAGAGAAGGAAGAGGATGACAATTCAGTGTTCTGATCAACGGCAGTGCAGACATTGTGAAGGGATATATGTAAACATAGTGTTTACACATATATCACTGTTTAAATTAGCATGGGTAAAGAAACTTCTAATTTGAAAGGTTCCTGTCACTTCCATACACTGATCTGCTTTTTCCTTTCTTGTTTAATATGTTGTCAAATTGAGAAGGCAGTGCAATCCTATTTAATAGTTAATCAATGATATATTTGAGAAGTTGCTTTTCAGTAAAAGGATTTACTTTTCTTTGAAGTTAGAACATCTTTCTTTTTCCTTGCAATTTTCCCTTAACATTTCCAGTGCTATATGACCATGTGTGACTTTTTTCTGTTTTTAATATAGCTCATCCAGTTGATTTTGAGTCACCTTACAGTACCAGACCTGTGTAGACTAGCGCAAACTTGTAAGCTTCTGTATCAACATTGCTGTGATCCTCTACAGTACATTCATCTCAGTTTGCAACCTTACTGGGCAAGGATTAATGACACATCTCTGGAATACCTACAGTCTCGCTGCACTCTCATCCAGTGGCTGAATTTATCTTGGACTGGAAACAGGGGAGCCATCTCTGTTTCTGGATTTAGCAGGTCAGTGCTAAACCTACAGAAGTATTCTGACAAGCTCTGTTTGACAGAGCTGCTGCACAGTACTTTTACTAAGCATGTGAAGCCTTACTAAAAGACAAGAAATGCCTTTGATTTACTGTAAAGGGTGTGATTGTTATGATGTGGGGAAAAAAACAACAGCTAAACCGGTAAGAGGTACTAGATACAGCAGCAGAAGTCTGTTTCAGTGCGTGGAGTCTGTGTGTGCCAAACTGCCTGTGACTGAAAGGCTTCTTCCAGGGGGAGCCAGTGTTTTGCTTTCTCTTGGGCTTCTAAAAGACTCCACTGGCACCAAGCTGTCAAAAGTCCCTCTCACAAATAAGTTGTTTGCAGTTGTTCTTTGTATAGATGAGTCATCGGTAGGACTGTGTTAGAAAGGCTGCAGTAATAAACTGATTATAGTGCATGCTTGCAAGGTATGGGCCCTAAGTAATCATTGGAGTGCAATGTAAATGCAAATATTTTCATAAAAATGATTTAAAACATTAGCCCTGTTGGGAAACAGGGGGTTTGCATGTGCATCTTCCACTGAGCTGAAAATATGACTGTGCTGTAGGTCATTAAAATAGCAAATTCGCAGGGATTCTTCTCTGTATAACAACAGTGTTCTCTGCTTTCTTAACATATCATTTCTTGCTTCTTTGCTCGTTTGCATTAGTTAAACAGCATCTATCAACGCATTTCATTTAAACAAAAATTGCTGCTTCAACTAAGAGGCAATCAGCAATGACTGGCGAAAGCAGAACTTGACTGATAAGAAAAAAATGTTTAATACATCTAAAAAAAATTGTCTTTACTCTCATTTGTTTTTGGAATAAAAAGGTTAACTCAAGTATTCAAACATTTTATTTCCTTTGGTGCCTGGGTGCCTTCCCTGGGGAAGTAAAATAATTTGAAAAAATACAAAAATACTTTGTCAAGATGAGAATTGTCGCTTCCCTTCTTTCCTGACCTTCCAGTATAATCCAAACACCCTATTCTCTTTTGTGCTTGTTGGTAGGAAAAGGAGATAGATATCAGCTAGGTGTTGAATGGGGTACAAATATTCCTCCTAAATTTGGATTTCATATTGGATATATTATGCGGAGGCTAAATATGCAAGCTTTAATGGAGAATTCAACTCTGAAATTGTGAAGTGCTTGCTTTCCGATGCTTAGCTATTAAATCTGTCTTTTGAAAACTTCCATCTTTATGGCATATTTTTTTTTAATGTTCATGATTTTTTTAAAACGTGCAGTACTGCAAAAAATAGCTTTATTGCTAATGACTTCTTTACTTCTGTGCTGAAATAATAGCAGAACTTATGTGGAGTCAGCATTTCTAAAATAATAACTGTTCATTGTTTGACTATTAATAATCTGTGAATAAAGATGGTCAATTTATATTCATTATAACCAGTGATAATTGTTTGTAACAAGGGGGAAAAGTGTTCTTGGACATTGATAAAATTGTGGAGTTACCTGTATTTCTGGGGAAAAGTATTTCTAGGAAGATACGTGCAGTCTGGGAATGGGAGGTGCAGTTAAATTGTAAATTTTGAAACAAAGTTGTAAGCTAAATAATTTTCAGGTGTGACTTCTGCTCGGAATTTCCCCTTCTGAATCAAAAATTCTCCACTGTAACTAGGTCTGGTTTTGAAAGTTTTCTTTTTCCCAGTGCAGAACTAATTTTTTAACTCTTGGTCTGTAGAAGTGTTTTTTCTAGTAAAATTTCGAAACCAATTTTCCTTTTGACATTCTTCGTCAGCATGGTTGTCAAATCTTCTAGCCTCCAGGAAAGGAAAATTTGATGCTCATTTGCTATGGAAGTATCTATTAATACAGGAGACTTATTAGAACAACACTTGCTTTTCAAAAGCATTAGTATAACTTACTTCAAAAAAATAACTTCCTGATGAGAGATACTGTTCCTCAAAGGAGGAATCTGCCAGGTAATGTTTTAATTCTGTTGCCCTGCCTATCATTAAGATACCACCACCACCACCATGTGGGTATTACAGCATCCAGGACACAGTCATGAACTCCTACAATTTTTCCTTTTGAACTTGTAGATGTTCCTCACCCAGCCTGACTTTTGGGAGATACTTATGCAAAACAGAGTTTCCAGAGCTTGGAGGTACCTCGACTTTCCTAGGAATTCTGTTTCACACTTACATTTTCTTTCCAGTTTATTCTTCAGAATATGACTATTGCAGCAGAGGTTCCCACCTGGCTGGAGAGAGTGCATTGCTGCTTTTATCAGTTACCTGCTGATGCTAACTGTTACTGAAAACTTAACCAGATTTTCAGACTGTAATTGTCCTTTGCAGAAATTAAATACTTAAGTATTTCTTTCTGTCTCTGCATAACAATAGAAGACACGTACCACTAGATTTATTCGTGTGAAATCTTCTCTTGCTTCCTACTGCGTGAATGTTTCTGAATCAGTTTGTTGAGTTCTCCTTATCCTGCTTTCTTTGGCTCCCTCTCTGGTCTCGGTATTCTCTATTTCTTTCTGCAAAGAAAATTTTAAAATAAAGCAATGAGGTGTGCCTGTAGAATAGCAAGCTGTGCATCTTTTATTTTGGATTTAATTGGTGAAAAAGTCTCCTTGTAACTTGTGGTTGAGTTGAAATGAGCCTGAATTGCTTGTTCCAATACTTCAGGTTTATAAATTTTGTGATGAGTTGCTGCATAAGAGACCAGGAATGGCTGTCAAGCCAACTGCTTGGAGGTGTAGAGAATTCTGCCTAGAAATTGTAACAATTTGAAGGACTCTGTTATACTGTTTTTAGGAGGCCAACCTGTATTTGTCAGTTCAAGGAGAAAAAAAAACATTATTTGCTAAACGAAATTTGTAAATAACTTCACAAACACCACAAATTGCTGCAGCATAGAAATGGCAAAATGCTAAACCCAAAATACCTTATCCTCATAGATAACAGCATTTCACTTTTACATGACCTGCTTTTTATTTTGTTGTCTTTATTTTTGCACTTTTCTCAGCATTCGGTGTTACAGTTGGCACTGTTGAATTCAAAACTGGTATAGTTAAATTCTTACAGCTATGCGATTTAGGATTTTTGCAAATCGGGGCATGTTTAAATGCTACTCTTGCTTGAATTTTATTTTGGCAAAAATCTTTCAAAAATGTTTTCATCTGTGGTTTCTTACGAGAGTGTTAGAAGTAGCTTGTGTAAATTTGTGTGCTGCTTTAAGAGGTTCCTATAGACACCATTGTAAGAAATAATTGAAAAATACATATTTTCTTGCAAAAATATATTAAAGTAGAAAATTTTTAAAAATAGTATTTTTAAGAAATGTGACTGAAGCAAATACTGTATTATCATGAGAAGATAAAATGCTTCAGGCATGTGAACATCCTGAGGCAAAGCTGAAGGTATTTTAACTTATTGATAACATCTACTCCTTAGGGCTAGAAATGACTATCATAAATCTTTCATTTCAGCGTATAATATAAATTAACTAAACTTTATCATTTAGATTGAACTAGAAGTATGCAGAGAAGTGAAAGACAAATGAAATTAGTATTTGAGCAGTCTCAAGTGTCTGGTAAGCAAAGTGACAGGGAGTAAGCAAAGATTTCACTGCCAGTGTTACATAAGCAGCACTGCATTTCTCTTGGCATTAGAGGTATGGTGAATTTCTTCATGCCAGGGGAATATCAGCGTGGGAGGGTAGGACCTATATAGGAAAAGCGAGGCAAGTTGACTGGAGATGTACTGAATATCGAGATGCTGAATAGGTGCTCTGAGGTTTAAACAACTCAAGGACGATGACAGTTTAAAAACAGCTCTGCATGCAGATTTCTTTGTATCATGGGTAATGTCACTAGCTTGGTTGAACTCTTCTGCTTTAAATATCTGAGATGTTAGGATGTTTCTTTACTTCTAACATTTTACACTGTGAAAATGAATCAATAGTGTTTTATTTTCAGGTTAGTGGCGCGGTGTTTGCATGTCAAGCGCATTCAGGAGTATTTCTTCAACAATTTCATTTTTGTTAATATTTGAGGGGTTTAGGTGATGTTTAATAGAGGTGTATTTTGACAGTGTTGAACTTGGTGAGGCTTTGCTGCGAATCAAACTAGCAGGAAGGTCAGAGAAATTACTGAAACACACATCAAGTACTCAGTCACAGAAAATAGGAGTAATGTGTGACTTTACAGGGATTCCCAGTTTAAAAATCACGTATCTCTTAATTTCCACAGTTTTTTAAGTAAAACCTAAGGTCTCTGTATTTGAGATTACTTAATAATGTTTGGTGTTCATGTTTTTATTGACATAGTATAAGCTGTGTTGAGAAAAGCACAAGATCGGGTACTTAATATGCTCCCTACTTGCATGCAGTGTTTTAAGGTTTGCTGACAAAAAAAGGTGTGATACATGCTAGATTAGAAGATAAGATTGTAACAGTTAGAATAGTTTAGAAGGGAAGGAGACCTCACTTTAAAAACAAAATTATTTTATTCAGTCTTACTCCCAAACGTGCATGCTTGCATGCACCAAGACAACTGAGATGTATGTCCAAAGCAATCTGTCTAGCCTATGGTGTCACCATCCTGTGCCACCTCTGTCCTTCATCTCCTAATCTGCGTGTCTGGAGAAACTGCACATACATATGTTCAAGGATCTTGATGACCTGCTAATCCAACTTCAACTTCCACCAATACACCCCACTCTACCAGCCCTCGTACTGCCTTTTGTTCTTTCTCGTGCTTCTACACCTGTATGTACTCTTTTGTTCTCCAGTCATACCTACCTTAACACTTTTATTACAATTATCTGTACTCTAGATGCTGCTGCTGTTGCGTAACACAGCAGTCCTGAAAGGAAAAGGATCACTGAAAATAAAAATACCTGAACATGATTTTAAGAATTATATTAAAATATAATTCCGCAAGTCACTGGATTAATTACAAGACTGTAACTGCAAGACAGGTTGGGATTATGAAGTCCTCTGCCAAATTTGTGGGAGTAATCATATAGATAGAACTAGAGTAAGAAAGAGAAAAACAAGATCTTACAAATGAAATGAGGAAGAATAATAATCCAAGTGTGTTGTTTTTTTTTTTTTTTACATTATTCTTGTGTGGTGGCAGGCTCTGGAAAGCGGGAGGCCTGAGTAGCCAGAAATACTGGTTTTAGGAGAGAGGTACCAAGGAGGGCTAGGCAAATGGGGCAGTGTTATATCTTGCAAGTAATGGAGGTAACATCCCTGATTTGCATGCTAGCATAAGGTGGGAAAATGCTGAAGTAAAAAGAAATCTATTGAGCCCTGTGTTGTTCATAAATAAAAGTTGCTTGCCCATCCCCTACCCTTTGACACCAAATTCAGTGATTTATATGTCAATGACTACAAAATGAGTATGTAAGATTTTAATTGAAAATGAGTATGGTTGAAACCTGTTGGGATAATTGTACTAAAGGAATATGAAACTAGGCAGCTATTTGTGTGTAGGGAGGATGAGTAGATGAGAGAGAACTGGACTGTGATCCCTACTCCCTTGTAGAGTTTTCTTTGTAGAGTAACTCTAAACCATGGGATATCAAATAAGTGAAGGTCATTGTGCTAACAGTGAATTGTAGGTTTTGGATCCAGTGCAGTTCCAGTGGAAACTACTGGAGCAAATGTGGTGTGACCAGTACGCTCATAAGCATATGTCCACAGGTAGTTTGAGAATTTTGTTTGGGAGGTCTTATGCAGCCAGTTCTTAAGGTACAAGAGATAGCACCCTTGATATTTTAATTTTGGATCTTCTTTGGCTCACGGAATATGCTTATGATACAGACATGAATTGCAGTATTGGAAGTTGTAATAGGCTGAGTGACCCCATGACCACGATGGGTTTAATACCAGCATAAGCAAATTGTGTCCTAATTGCTAATAGATACACTCAATGTTTCAGAAGGGTTTGACTAGCACTGACTGACTTCCCTGAAGCTGAAGGGGTTGGAAATGAGCAGCAGTTCTTGAGAGCAGGCTGAAGGTGATGAAAATCAAGATTGTTTTTTTTCATTAAAAAAAAAAAAAAACAACAAACCACAAAAAACCCAAAGCAAACAAAAACCAACCACCTTGCCCAAAAAATACCCAAAACAACCCCCAAAAAAACAACCATTAAAACCCCCCTGAAATACTGCAGTCTAGAATGAGGATAAATATAAAAGGAAAGGCTCAATCTGTTGTCTAACAAAATAAATGTATATGTTCACATTATTCTAGGTTGTTTAGTCAGTTGTATTTCATAACAAACATGAAAAGATGAAGGGAAATCACTTCAGAAATTGTGTGTATAAAATATTGATAATAAGAGCAAAAGTAAAGGGATGGATGACTCTGCAGAAGGGAGGAAAGTCTAATGACAGGAACCAGTCAATCCTCAGTGATTAAAGGAGAGGTATGTGAAGAAGTGTTGATTTGGGTAGAAGGTGCTTTTCTGGGGATTGTTTGTTTTCAAATGAGCTAAGTCAGAGCTAGGCATCCAGTATCTGTTAAATCTCAGAAGTATGAAGGCCATGCTCTGTTTGTTCTGAAACCACGAGAACCCATGTTCTACCTTGCCATATGGCTTTGGAGATCCATGTGAAAAGACATTAGCAAAAAACTGTTCTGAGCAGCCTGTTAAGTGCAGACAAAGATTGGGGCGTCTTAATCATTCAGAGAACTCTGCAATTCTGCCTGATGTTCTCTGCCCTGTGCTGGTTGGTGACTCCCTCAAATCCTTCCTCTTTTTGTTCATCTCTTCATCGCATGCCTGTCAGCTCATTCTTGTACCCTGCTGCATGTCCCTTATCCCCCTTGCCTTTCTGTTTAGTGTCTCCTAAATAACCTTTTACCAAAAAGGCAGCAAAGCTGTTAAGTGCAACGCTCGTTGCTGTCACTGTGTTTGCTCTGCCTGTGTGTTTCAAGTGTAATGAATTTAAATAAAACGTTCTGAGGATAATAACTCCTCAAGCTGGTGAGCCTGGAGTTCTTCTCCAAATCTAGGGGGTTAACTGAGTGTTTCCCTGACCTGGTAATGTTAACTTTTTTAATAGTCCTAGAAGGAGAAAATCGTTGATCTGTACCAACATTTATAACAGCCAAGCCCTGTTAAATTATATGGCAGTTAACCTAACATCCATTATTGTAATGGAGTAATTCATAAAATATTTATTCGTTAGCAAATTAAAAGCTAGAGGTATAATAAGTGGAGATTGACAGGATTTTGTGGAAAATACCACCATTCAAACAAAGCTTATAATTTGTTGATGAAAGAAGCTCTGTGAATGTATTGTTGAAGCACTCATTAAATAGAGGAACGGGCTAATTGGTAATCAGCAATGAATCCATATGTCTCTACTCTGATTTCCAGGGGATTTCCGTCCTGCGTTTCTCCATGGCAGTGTTGAACTCTATTGCTAGTGTAAAATACCAATTTAATGTTTAAATACCTAATGTTAATTGATGTGAATTGTCTGTCATTTCAGCTCTGACACTCCCATAAGAAGACTTACCAGTCTAGGTGAATTCAGTGTATCCTGTATGAAAACATCAAATAAGTGCTTGGTGTTTGATTAAACTCTGATTTTACAAGCTAAAATAGATTCTAAAGAGCGACTGCAGAGTTAGACAAAAATAGTGGAAGAGTAGATTCAAAGGCCATGCTTGGCAGAACCCCTGTGGCTCTGGGGCTTACGTCTCCCCTTTCGTGTCTCAGACCCTCTCTTTGTTTTTGTTTGCATAGGGTCATAGAAATGTTGGATGTTAGGGACCTCTGAGGGTCGTCTACTCCCAGCTGCCATTTGAAGTGCCAGTGTCCCCAGCACTAGATCAGGTCAGTCAAGGTTTCAGGTGACTCTTGGAAACCTCCAGGGATGGAGGTGCCACCCTGGAATCTCCTTTCCCCTCCTTATTATGTAGGATCTGCATAATCAAGATGAAAGGAATAAAGAAAGGTGGCGATGAATGGCAAGTATGACTGGAGTGAGTAATGAAAAAATAAGGAAAGAAGAAGATTTTAAAACTTGGATCTTGAAGGATGGACTTCAGGTCCTGTGCTACTGTTAGCATCCTTGAGGAATGCCTCCCTGAATGTGTCTGCTTTTAAGACCAGCAGCTATGTCGTCTGACGTTTCAGCAGCAGCAAAGTCTGGGGAAGGCTACTCCCTGTCTAGGGGTAGCAACAGGAGTTTTTGTGCGAGCAGGAGCCTCATGTCTCTCGGGCATTTCTGTTGTATCAGTTAAACCCAAGAAGTCATACTAACTTTGCAGTGAAAGTGTCAGAACCTAAAGCTGCTTTGTCTTCATGAAGTAAGCTAGAACTGGTAGTAGAGCAGATCAGAATATTTTTTATGAGAAACGAATCCATACTCTCTTGCAAGTAGCTCTGTTATTCTAGGAAGCAACAATGGGAACTCATTGCAGCCCATAGGTTAGGAACTTAGTTTTTTCTACTGCAGAAATTGTTAAAGTATAACAATCATAGTAAACGTGTGGGTTGTTTCTCCCCACTCCCCCCCCCCCCCCCCCCCCATTAAATATCAAATTTAGAAGCCTAGGGGTTGATTTACAGTTCAAAGGTTTTCTTTGCGATAAAATGGGACATAAGCTTATGTGTGTTTACTTAAAGCTTGGATGAGATATTACAGAGCTTGAATTTCTGACACAAGATCTCTGACAAAATGTGTGATTCAATTCAGAGACCATCAAATTTTCTAAATTTTTGATATTTTTGTCTTCTAATGTCTTAAATTTTTGTAATTCCAATGAAAGTCACGTGAAATAGCCCTTAGGAATCTCTGTGTTCTAAAACAGCTACTAAGTGCTGATTTTGACTTGTTTGTTAATGAAAGGAATGAGATGTTTTTCTGAAAGTCTTAAAATACTTCTCCTGAATATTTCATTCATTTGTTTAACCTCGTTTTTACATTTGCAGACTTTTCTGAGAGAGAAATATGAAATTATTGGTGAAAACTTGCAGGCCATTGTCAAAATCAGCTTTGGGGACTGTTTAAAGCATTTTAAACATTATCTGTGTTGTACTTTGTTCCATTGCCTCAGAATAAATGGCAAGAACAAAGCATGTTCCAACTTTCTGAACCAAAACAGCGTTTTCAGAACTAATGTTAATTTAATTAAAAGCCCTCTCTGTACCATTTTCAGCCCCAATGATTCTTTTGCAATTTGTTTTCAAGATGAAAGTTGTTTATTAAGACTGCTTAGGTGACATAAGCCTCTTTATGCCATGTACAGCGTTATATAGCCTTTTGTGATTCTTAAAATGAGTCAAATACTCCTTTGTACAAGCCATTGCGTAATACTGAGGTTATGTACAATACCAAGTTAATGTTGATGAAACAGTCTTGACTTTCAGACTACCTTTGCCTTTTTGCTATTGCTCTCAACTCAACACCTAATTGACTTCGTCTCTTCTGGACTTGTACAGATTTGATTCAGAAGTAACTTCTTCAGAGTGGTTATAATTAATTTACTTTAACCTAATCATATTTTCTGTTAGTTAACTGAAGTGACATAAGAGCTGTCTGTAGGCTTTTCATTGTTGAAAGGAAGTATTCCCTGGTTTGCATGCTTAAGGTTTCGACATTATTCAGACTCTCACCCGAAAGTATGTTTATTTTTCACTTTAAATGTGGGTCTTTTACAGGTTCTTGAAAGTTTGTGGCTCTGAACTAGTACGTCTGGAGTTGTCTTGTGGCCATTTCCTGAATGAAACATGCCTGGAGGTCATTACTGAAATGTGTCCAAATCTTCAGGAATTAAATCTCTCATCATGTGATAAAATACCACCTCAGGCTTTCAACCACATAGCCAAAGTGGGCAGCCTAAAGCGTCTCATTCTCTACCGAACAAAAGTGGAGGTAGGAACAAGTGTCTTTAACTTTTGCAATAAATACTTTCAATCAATCCTGGTAAAGTAAGTTTGTTTTGTTTTTTTCATTAATGAAGTGAATTAGAATTTCACATGTAAATTCAAAGATGAATTCAGAAAATTCAACGGTAGTTTCAAAAACCATTTGTATTTTCAAAATAGCTTCCAGATGTAACAAAAATAAATAAAAAGCTTGCATGTTTCAACTTGCATGGAAGATTGGTTGGTGACTTTTCACCAGCTGTTTGAAGCCATGTAGTGAAATCACAAATGTGAAAGCTTTTCTCTTGTTTTGAAGTGTACTCCAGACCGATTCTATTTGGAAATGTAATTGGGAAATTACCATGTTTAGTAACTTACGTAGTTCTCAACATTCTCTCCTTTACAATGATGTACTAATTATTAGATTCTTACTATCTTCGTGTATATTAGCAGTATCTGAGACATGGAACAGAATTTTTTTAAAATACTTTTTATTTACAGTGTAAAAATTACTTCTTTATGCAGTTACTCAGCTGCCCAGATCAGGGTTGTTATTTGCTGCAATACATTTCCTATCTAAGATGGAATGGATTTACATGCTACAGTTGAGAAAACTGTTGCAGTTTACTACATTTTACAAATGTTGTATCCTAGTAAATTCAGCAGTTTGAATCGGAAGCAATTCCATTCCTTCTCACTAGCTACATTACTCAGGTAACTTTTAAAGTTCGAGGCGTCATGCTTGTAATAGTGCAGCAGCAGAGGTATACTCTGAAAATGATTGGTAACTGTCATTTCTTAGCTATCACTTTGCTGAACAGAGCTTGAAATTAGATTGAATGTAGGTGGCAGAGATTTCCTGACTTTGAAACCCTTAAATGGGGAAGATTCATTTGTGCCTTTCATGTGTATGGACGTGCATCTGCTTGTGGCTGACGAGAACATTCATTCATAATCAAGCTTACTTAAGACTGTGCTTCCACTTTATACATAAGTATAAACTGAAGACACTGTTGCTAACAGACCACAGTAGAGAAATTGCTAGAAATTTAAATAGGTAAATAGGAGAGGATGCTTTTGTGTTACTTGCTAATATGAAGCCACTTAACAATATGCATTGTGCATCACAGGTGGAAAAGTAAAAGGGAAGGAGTGAAGATGTAGCATAGAATTTGAATTAGAGGATTAGAGTTGCAAAAGTCACAGATCTGTAGAAGTAACATTACTTTTCTCAACATCAGCTTCTCGTAATGGAAATCTTTGGTTTTCTGTACAAAATAGGCTGTCATTCCTTCTGTACTCTTCAGCTGGTATGGAGATGCTAAGTAGTAACTGGTGTCTAAATGGAAAAAAGACAGGATAGATTGATCAAGCATGCTCTGAAGTGATTTAGACTTTTTTAAAACTTGTCAAAGAACTGTAATATGGTAGTGTTCTTGATCTTTGTGAAATTTCTGCTATCTGTGTCTTCATTGCTGGACCTTCTAAGGAGCAAACAAATGGAACAATGCGAATGTGTAATCAAGAGCTTGGCATTGTATTGTTGCCAACTGGCCCTGGTCAGGGAAAAGAATCTGAGGCTGTGAATCCACAAAGGAAAACTGCAAACTAATAACAAGTATCTGACTATTAAGAGAAAGTAAGAAAGAAGGTGAGGAGAACAGAGCTGATGTGTGTGTTATGGTCCTCTGTAAAAGTTCTGTCTCAAAAAAAAAAAAAAAAAATCTGTTCATTACATTTAACCCACTGTTTTCCTAAATAAATCAATGGTTTGCTTTTTTTTTTCTTAAAAAAAAAAAAAACAAAGAACAAACAAAATAAAGCACCAAGTCAATTTAAATTTTCTTGTATCATGTTCTAGAATAGCAAAAGTACAGGTCCTACCATAATTATCAGCGTGTCCTCATTTTCTGTGACAGAAGTATGGCATCTCTGTTCATCCTATATGTAAAATTGGGGTGATATGTTTCTGATATTACTGGAGATTTTGAGGTAATTGCCTAAATGTGAAGAGGGAATGATAATGCAGAGAACGAGTTGGTAAAAAGCTGACCAAAATGAGTTCTCCAATGGGGTATCATAGTATTTTTTGGTGTGTATCTTACTGCACAATTCAAGGCAGTCACTGGAATTAAGGCATAATAAAATTAGATCAAATGAGGAGGGAGACTGCCTTTTATACTTGTAAACAGTCTGATGAATTTATTGTTACAGCTGATCAACGTAAGTTCTTGAGTTGAATTATTTAAGCAAAGCGATCATATTTTTAAAAATGAGCAACACTAAGGAGAACAAGAAAAGCAAAATAGGACTTAATTAATTGATTTTCAAAGGAGGGCCCCTCTCTGCACGTTATTTGTGACGCTAGTGAAAAGGGGGCTATTTTCCTACTCTGCAATTGTCAGTCTCTGCTGAAAATGCAGTGTTGTGTCAGTGGACATCTGGATAAATAGTACAACTTGTTCTTTTGGTTGTGAATTTAGGCGTGTGAGTAAATAACATAGGATATGGGAGATACGGGATGAAGATTCTCCATCCTTTTTGTCATTATTTGATGAAGCTGTTTCTGTTTCTGCATGATGCTTTATAAAGTACAGTATTAACATTTTAATAAAAGAAATGGTAGTTTGATTATATAAAAACAAACTCCCATGTACCTGCCCAGATGTAAGATTTCCTTCCTCAGACTGTCTTGCAATACTCTTTTTCATTTTTTTTTCTTTTTAATGCTAAAAAAAAAGAGAAAAGATGTTTTTAACATTTAAATTTTAAGTATTTGTTGTACTTTTTCTGTTTATATGATTACTATGACACTAATGGATGAATTCTGAGAAAATACTGTGCAGAAAACCGGCTACTGTTAATGATATTTGTGTTAGGTACAGAAAAAACAGGTTTTGTGGAAAACAAACAGTAAAATTGACAACATACTATGTAATTGTCTGACCAATTGCTATGACAGTCACATGTTACTTTAGTTTTCTTTGAGTAGGTTTTGTATTTTAAAATATTCCCATTGTCTCTGTAATCAAAGCTCCAGTTTTTGAGTGTACATTTTTAGTGAAATGGATAGTTCTGGTATTCTGCTACTTACTTCACTGCATTGCTGTTTTGGAAGATGGCTGTACCATCTGGAGGAGTTTATGATCTTTGGTCCTAAGCCTGCTGATTCTTAAGGCCACCTATAATGTTACTTCCTTGACTTATTGAGTGCAAGTTTTTGTGTACAAAATTGGTTTCAAACCTCTGAAATGAAGTTTTCAACGTACTTGAATTATTCCAACCTCTCTGCTACAAGAAGAAAAGTCCAGTGACTTTCAGTACTTTGTTTCAGGCAGAATAAGCAAAAAGAAAGAAAAAAAAAAAAAATTGTCTTGCATCACTATACTCCTCCCCACTAAATGCAGCTCATTTTCCCGGTGCTTCAAGTTAACTATTAAAGGTTTCATTCTTAAAGGTTGTTTGATTATGCATATGCTTGAAATAATTTGCAACTTTGGGAAACTGATCTCAGCATTTTATACATGTAACTCCTGCTTGCTCAAGACCACTGTTATACTTGTGGGCTTTTTGTGCTAGTGGTTTTGGTATTTACTGATACATGACTCCTTAATATTTATTCATTGAGAGTGTATTCACAGCATAATTTAAGCACTTGTTGGCATTGATACATTTGAAGAATACAATGAACAACAGAGGTATTATTGTATACAGTAATTGGCAATGCACATCTTTATGGTTTGAGTATGAATATTATCTTGATTTCATGCTTATCATGAAGTATTCCATCCATATAAATAATGCAGGCAAGATTGTATTTTAAAGAAACCAAAGCCACAATTACAGTAGGAGAACCTGACAGTCTCTTTATTGCTGGGTGTAAATTTTAATGTAAGATTATATGTTTCATGTTGCATGTTATTCTGGATTCTTTGTAATGTGTGAAGAAGTTTTAAAATTACAATTGAAATACAAAATGAACTAAATTTAAATGAAATTACAACGGATAAAGGACTTTGCTTTGCAGTCATTTTAAAGCAAGCGTTGTAGTTATAAAATTTATCTCTGATGCCCTTGAACAAGAGCAAATTCAGAGCTTGGGCAGTTGTCAGAGAGGACACTGGAAATTTTAGATATCAAGAAGAGGCATAAGAATATTAGCAGTAAATGTAACAGCTTCTAATTTTTTATGCCCTGAGCAATGAAAGAGTTAATGCTGCCATAAAATTGTTCTACAGAGATTTAGAAATATCCTGTTATGGGTCATGTTATACTTCTGAGAGCTATTGTCTGAGGTTTTTCAACTTGGACGAAATTTCACTGGCTTGGGTACAAATCTTTAGGGTTAAGAGTTGCAAATAGTGGAAAAAAAGTGAAAGCCTCTAGCTAGAAAGTGGATTCTTGGAAGGAGGTTGAGCCGGTGACAAATAATCATGCAATACAGGGCCTTGATGGTGCCTTCTGATCCTGTGTCAGGCTCATAGGGCTGAATTTGGTCACTTGAGCCTGAAATGGGAAGAGTGAGGGGGAAGAATGAAGGTGTAAACCAGATTTGCAGACATAAGGGAGGGCATAATTTGACCAAATGAAGCAAAACCAAAGTACAGTAATTGAATTAACTACAGAGACTATTACTTTCATTGAATTAATTCAGTAATTGCTGTGTTGCTGTGTCCCAGTCCCTGCTGTGTCCCTGGCACTGCCAAGTAGTTGTAGAAAACAGAAAGGTGCCCCTGTACGTCCTGAATCCCAGCCTGCAAATCACATTGTGCCTGTTTGTGAGGAGGCAAGTGTTTTGACTTTTGAAAGGCTGCATCTGCACTCAATAATAAGGTTCATTCCACCTTCGTTTCCATGTACTCTCATTTTTTCTCCTACCTGATGCCCATGTAGTATTCGTATTGCATTTATTTTTAAACCTGTGTCAGAGTTTGGGAGGCAAAAGTTTTATCACTGTCCAGTTCTTCATCTCAAAAATGGTCCAATAATCCAAGTACCTGATGGTGG